AGGGCTCCAATTTCTCCATAACTTTGTTATTGTCTGTCTTTTTGATGATAGACATCCTGGTGGGTGTGAAGTGGTATCTCATTTGGTTTTGATTTGCATTTCTCTAATTACTAATGACGTTGAGCATCTCTTCATGTGCTTTTGGCCATTTGTGTTTGTGTTTGTGTGTGTGTGTTTGAGAAATGTCTATTCAAATCCTTTGCCCTCTTTTTAATTGGGTTCTTTGTCTTTCTGTTATTGAGTGGATGGACGAGTTTTTGAGAGGCAGAGTGAAGGAGTAAAAGCTTAGAAATGGAGAAGGGTGAATGCTAGCAAAGGATAGGAAATTAAACAGACTGGTCAGAGCATAGCATGGCATAGGAAATGTGAATCTGTACTTAGCAGAGATGGCTGTCAAACATCTCTGTTTATTTATCAAGTGGGGACAACAGTGAGACAAAATATGATAAAGAACCAGTGTTTACACACAGGATAAACTCATAAATAGAAGGTAATACCACTGTCTTAAATGGGCTGGTCACTGATTTAGGAATATTATGTGTGATCTGGTTTAATCCTCCATTCTATGACTTATCCCATTTTCCAGATGAGGGAACTAATGATCAGAGAAGTTAAGTAACTTGTCCCAGGTCACTTAACTAATAAATGGCAAAGGTGAAATTCAAAACCAGGTCTGTCAGCCCCTGAAGTACAAGAGACCGACAGTGTGCTAGTTGGGAGATAGAATTAGAAAGGAAGGCTTGGGATCTTGTGGTACAGGGCCTTGACTATTCAGGAAAAGTTTATGCTTAATTTGCAGACATGGGATAGCTGCCATGTATTAGCTAGGGCAATTAGGAACTACATTTTGAAAACGTAGAACAGCGTGGTTGGGAATGGGGAAGGCCAGAGCTGGGAGGCAGGTTAGGAAGCTATTAAAAGAGCCCAGCTGAAGTATATGGAGAACAAGGACCGAAGAGATCACAGGAACCCCGGGCAGGAAGACAGACAGAAAGTGCTGTGCTCAGGAGAGCTAGTTATTACATTTTCAGCCAATTGTTAAATGCTGCCTTTATTATGAATTAAATTACATCAATGTATAATTAACATTTTTACATTAAGAACAAAGGTAATAGACACTCCAAAGTCATGGCTTCCTAATGATTTCATGGTATTTTGCTATTATCTGTGCTCTTGAGCTTATTTTCATTTCTTTTCCCTGTGTGGTGGAAATGCTCTATGAACGGTGCTATTGTCCATCTCTTCCCAACTTCATTGACATTGCGATGGTACCTTGATATTGGCCGTGATAGAGTATTTATAGCACCAAAATTGACAAATCAATAAGTCAGGGTTTTCTTTGGGGGGGGGGGCTGCTGTTGTTAAAGGTTTACATGCACCCCGCTGGGGAACAGAGGTGTTGGGGAGGCAGAATATGTAGAATCGGGGAGTTCTGTAGATAGATGTAGTGTGAAAGGGCAGGCAAAGATATGCAAGGTTTCTGGTCTGTGACACATGCCTGGAAGAGCTGGCTATCCTGATGCACATGAGGAATGTGGGATGTGGAGCAATGGGAAAGACAGACTGGCCAGAAACTCTTCCTCCAGCAGACAGGTCTGGTTCAGGGTTTGAGATAAGAGGAGGGATAGGTACAGGAATGGTGGTACACACAGGACACCTAACTTGAGTCTTTGCATACTTCGTTGGTCACCTGATTTCTCCAGCCACAAGAGAAAGGGTGGAACTTTCCAGGGCGAAGACCGTTTTATCTGTGCCTGAGTGCTCACTTCATGGGGGTCTGCTAGGGGCTAAGTAGGTAGGATTTGAACTGAATTCTCCTTTCTGGGAGTCAAACTGGAACCACTGCTCTCCATCTTTCTCGGACAGTTCAGAAAAAAATCCAACAGGGTCAAGGTCTCTGGGGATAACAGCTGGGGTGGGAATCCAATGTCTACTTACAACTAACCATCAGAACTTGGACAAGTTACTTAACTGCTCTAAGCCTCACTTTCTCATCTGTTCAATTAGAATGTTGGACTAAGAGCTTTCCCAGCTTGGGTTCTATGAGCCTTTGCCCTTCACACCATGTCTCCTTGATATCTCCTCAGCCACTGGGCAGGCTTGCCTGAGTTCTAGGGCTCTGCTCCCAAGATGGTAATCTATGAAGCAATCATTCACCTGGCCATCATCCATCAGGTGGGAAAGGGGGACCTGTGATCCTGTCAGCCTAAGTAAAGGTGACATAGAAGGGCTTTATCAAATGAAACGGGACGGATGGATGGCGGGCTTCCCAGTGTCAGGGAAATATTGATTCAGGCAAATATATGATCCTTCACATGAATATCTCAGAGGCTGTTGCTAAAAGAGACACTGCAGTATGGAGAGTGTCTTTTCCACGATGAAGGATGGCTTTTTAGTGCCGCACCATTGCAATGAGAAGTGATGCGCAGAGCCCCAGCCTCACTCCCTGGGCCTTGCATTATAGAAACAATGATGCGCTCTCATTACCGCAGGTAAGTGGAGAAATGTACGATTATGGTCCTAGTAAAATCAGAGGAAAAGAGACGGCGGCAGCTTCCCCAGGGATCCAGAGTTGCCTGGGATTAGGAAGGGTGCAAGGCTGCTAATTGTACTTTTCGGAGCTGCCTGCTGGAGGGAGTTTTGAGGTTACTGCTGACTCCCTGCATTCTCTCTCTTGCTGACAGTCAGTGAGCACACAGGGGCCCTTTATCAGGCCTCAGTTGTGCAACTTATTGTAATCACCAGTGAAATGATCTTAATCACAGATGACCTAACGCACTGTATTGGTATTTGAGCATATAAACCAACCTGCTTTGCTGATGCAGGAACTGGACTCAGAGAGGTCAGGGGGCTCATTGAGGCTATTCTGCTATCTAGCACGAGGACTAGGACCAGGATTCAAGCTTCCTAAATAAATGATCCAGGGCTGATTCCACTATATGCAATTCTGAAGCATAATACAAAGCCCCATGCCCCATTTGAAAATCTCCAATGCTGCACTTCATCCACACTAGTGTTAAAGAAAGAGACAATTTTTTTGTCAGCCTTTCTACTTTTGGCTTGAGAGGGTCCACCTGTTTCTCAGTCTCGGCTGTGCTACTTTCTATTTTGTGTATTCCAAGTACTTAACTCTTTCTAAGCCTCTGTTACCACATCTATAATATGGAGATGAATCCGTTCCGAGTGTATTAATTGAGCATCTATTATATGTCAGGTAGTATGATACAGATGTTGCTAATAATAGCACCTAACTCACAGGTGTTTTGACAAACATGAAATGAAGACAAGTAAAGTGCTAAGCGTCATGGCTGGTCAATGATAAATATTCAGCCGGTTTTGGCACTTAGCATAGGTCAAGTTCCTCTACGTGCCCTTATTTCCCTCCTTTTACATCCATTTATTTGAGGACCTGATAAAATCTTGGGGTTCAGCAATGAATAAAACATAGTCCCTGCTATTGACAAGGTCTGTCTTACGGCGCAGGTCAACCTGGGTTTGAATCCCACCTTCGCTCCTGGCATAAGCCTACAGGCTTCTGTGAGGTGTCAAGATTATATATATAGAAGTCTAGTCCAGTGCCTGGAACACAGTTAGCATTCAGTTAATGATGCTATCATTATTATATTATCGTTACTATCAGGTTATTGTTAAACAGAAAAACAGATACTTTCAATGCAATGTGAAGATGCTAGAGGGAACAAAAAGAAAAGGGCCCATAAAGGGATGAGTTCACAGAGCTGGTTCTTGACAGATACCTTGAAGTTGCTCTGGAAGAAAAGGAAAAGAAGATCTGCCAGAGCAGAGGGAATAGAATTTGCAAAGGCTGGAATGTTCAGGGCGGAGGACAAGCTCTGTGTGGCTGGAGGAAAGGGACCATTGAGGAGGGTGTAGCAAAGTGTGGCTGGAAAGATGGGACAACATTGTCAAAGGTCGTAGAAGTTACTAAGGAGTGCGTCTCGTAGAAATTGGCAGTGGGGGGCCATGGCAGAGGTACAAGGGCATATTTTGGGTTGGGCGACAGAGACCAGGCTTTGATTACCTGTGGCACGCTGCTTTCATCCCACCTACTCATCGAGCTAAATTCCCAGGCAATAGCAACAAAACTCGTGCTCTCCTGTCCTTGTTATTGGGGTGCCGACCTTGGGGTGGTCTGTGGTCACCATGCCCCTCTGCATGGCCCTGCCTTGCCTGGAGCTCCACTGAGCATCTGAATTCATCTCCAAAGGCAGAAGGAAGAAAAGTTCTGAGCCAGGCTGTTTGACCAAAGCTTAGCAGAACTCAGTTTCCCAAGTGTACGCGTTCCGGAGACTTGAAGGCTCAGGCAGTGTCCCTGGGGTCGATGCTCCGAGCGTGACACAGGAGATCCTACCAATCAGTCTCCCTGGGTGGGGAAAACGAGGAAAAAGCAGACAGGAGCAAAATCTCTCCTGCAGGCTGACCAAGTGAGGGAAATTTCAGAGGCTCCTTGTTCTTCCTCTGCTTCTCTTTCATCGTTGTATGTTGGGACATTTCCTGAGGGCTGCCTTTCTGTTCTGTGTTAATGATGGACTGTTTTCCACTTACCCCTTTGAGATCTTAGCCCTGTTATTAACTTGTCAACAGGTTTCCCCTCCATTTTAATTACTCTTGCTCAGCAGCAGATGGTGGAACACAGCTGATTTCCAAACCGCTTCCCCCGTTCAGGAGTGGTTGTTCCCTCTTTGCCAGCAACCTCTGTGAGTGAAAGTCACCTTGTCCATGTGGCGGCTTTGCTGGCCCAGTTCTCCCTCTGTTTCCTTCGGTGGCAGGAAGCTGCTTTCCCTCACTGCTTCTGGGAGTTTTTGAAGGCATGTCAAACTTCTCACCCCAGACGGCAGGACTGTGTTTACGGAGCAGAGAATCCAGGTCCTGTCCTTCTTGTCCTTTCTGTCTTCTTCAGAATGAACTGCCTTGATCCCCTGTAAATAGGAGGTGAAGTCTACTGGTATCAGCCCTCTGATTTCTTGTCCTAAATCTTCCAGAGCCTCCGGTGTTCCACGGAACCCAGCTGGGTTCTCCATGAGATCAAGGCCTCTCCTGACTCCCCTGACCAGAAATAGGTACATGGCAGCAACCGGCCCTCAGAAGACGGGAAATCCGCTTTCTCAGGTAATCCTTACCTGTAAAACCGCTTAATCTCTGGTTAGTGGTCACTCCCTCAAGCTAATTTTTTCCCCCTTAGACAAGAGCTTTCAGGATACCGTGCCTTAGCCCGTAGTGTGGTGGTGGGGGGAGCCTCGTGGGCAGACAGACCTTTGAGGCTCTCGAGCTGCATGTACTACGTGAGCAGCTGCCTCTGCCCGGCTGTTTCTGCCTGGTTAGCTTTTCCTCTGGCTTTGCTGAGAATCATCACGGGGATGATGGCTCATGATAAGGATCTCAAGGTTGTTCCGATGTGGCTGAAGAGAAGAGTGGCTTCTCGTTTCTAAGATTCCTCCAGTCAGGACCTTGGAATTAGTCCCCACTTCTCTGGGTTGTCATCTCTTATTTTGTATATATGATGTGACTCCCCAAATAAATCATAACTTCCATGAGGTTAGGGACACGTACCGATGCGTTCTGCAGATCATGTTAGCAGGCGATCCTTGTTCAAGGTCAGAGATAGTCATTATCTTGATAGTCGTTTTATTTAATAGTTTCAAAACTATGTGAGGACAGGTACCATGATTGCCCTTTTACAAATGAGGAGGGAGAAAGGTTGAAATGCATTGGTCGGGGCCCCAAAGCTAGTAAGTGGCAGAGTCAGGATTTTGAACCCAGCTTGGCAAATCCTGTGCACTTTCTCCCACATCATTCCAAATGGCATAAGACCAGTTTTCTCGGCTTCTAGGCTATATGATGACCGAGTCTGTGTCTCAAGTTCTTGCTCCTGAACTTAGCAGCCTCATCTGTTATCTGGTCAGTGCTGATCGCAGTGAGCCAGCAGAGGGGAGAGCGCCGGGAGAGCCGGTGGGGACGGACAAGACTCCGAGGGCAGGCATCTGGGCTTGCAGTCTGATAGCCTGGCTTTTCCACCCTTCATTAATTTTGATTTTATTTTGTTTCAAAGACATGCGTGTACACAATGTTTTTTTTCTAAAGACATTCCTCGTTTGAACTGCAAAATCAAGAACGTGATTTGAGGGACAATCTTCTCAATACCCCCGAGGATGATGAATAACTGGTACCACCCTAGATGCATGGGGAAGAGATGAATTTGTCATGTGCGATGCATATCTTAGGGCAGTGGTTCTCGAACTGTGGTGCTTGGCTCCCTGGATGTCCCTCAGACCCTCTCAGGAGATGCCTGAGGTCAAATGACTTTTCATACTAATACTAAGACATTACTTTCCTTTCTCACTGGGTTGACATGTGCAGTGATTGTGGAGAAGTCGTGGTGTGTGGAATGGCTGGAACCTTCGCATGAATCAAGCAGTGGCCCCAAACTGCACCCAGCATCATAGTTTTTACCACCACGCATCTGCTGAAGAAAAAAAAATCAGGTTTTCCCTCAGAATTCCTTCATTAGGTCCTTAAAACAATTTCTTTGTGTGACAAAGTAAGAAGTGTTTATAAACTCCCAGGTCCCATGAGGATCTTGAGGAAAAGCAGTTGTGTGATGGTTTGAGCTGTGGGCGAACCAGCTACTTTTTCCAAAGCACAGCACTTTTGCTTGAAACAATGACTGATTGACAAACTGTCACTATTCATATTTGGGTATTGAAAATGCATAACGTGGGCCAGTCATTTCAAGGAAAACAACTGACAGTATTCTTGCCTAAGATAAAATTGAGCTTTCAAATGAAAATTAGATTTTGGAAAACCTGTATGTATCACTGTAAGTGCAACAGCTCCTCAGTTGTTAAAGATTTTTCTGAGGAGATCGATGATGATATTAATGGTTGTATGATTTTTTTTGATATTGTATGAAATACGTCAACATGGAAGATGTGCATAAGTCAGTAAATAAATATTTTCCAAATGACCAAAGCATATTGTTATAAAGTCATGAAGGGATACAAGAACCATTCAAAGTACAAGATAGGCCAGTGGATTTTAGTGTAACAGAGTACATAAAGTTCACTGATATGATTTCAGATTCCATGTCCAATATTCTGCACGAATTGCTATGAGAAAGGCAGGCAATCTCATCGTCTCTAATAGCTTCCTAAGAAAGATAGATGCACAGGAAGTCAACTTCTTGAGAACTTGCCTGTCTTAAAATAACATTATTATAGGGGCGCCTGGGTGGCTCAGTCGTTAAGCATCTGCCTTCGGCTCAGGTCATGATCCCAGGGTCCTGGAATTGAGCCCCGCATCGGGCTCCCTGCTCTGCGGGGAGCCTGCTTCTCCCTCTCCCGCTCCCCCTGCTTGTGTTCCCTCTCTCGCTGTGTCTCTGTCAAAAAAACAAATAAAATCTTAAAAAAAAAACATTATTATACTCTCCTACTTAATTGATAGTTTTGTTTCGAAAAAAGATTGTACACTGTCTCTTTTGTCTTGAGTGTCCTGAAATATCAGGTTTATTCGACAGTGTCTGTTTGTTCTTATTCATTTCAATGCTGATGGATACTCGGTAGATCCTTTCAACCTGGCAGCTCACGTCTTTTGGATCTGGGAAATTCTCTTGAATTGTTTCATGTTTGCTTTCATGTTCTCCAGGGTCTCTTTCTAGAATTCGTTCTATTTGAATATTGGACATTCTAGTTTTCTTATTCTTGGATTGGTCTTCTAATTTTATTATTCTTTCTCTTCTCATTTTCCTTCTGTTCTCTCTTTTTTTCTTTCTCCCTTCTGGTTAATTCCTAGGAAATGTACTCAATTTAATCTTTGAACTCTACTGAGTATTTGATTTTTACAATTGTCTATTTAATTTCCAGGGACACTTTTTTTTTTCCCTTAATTTTCCTTTACCACAGTGTGGGGTTTCTGCTTGGTGGATACAGTATCTCTCCTGTTATCTTTCTGAGAACACTGATGGTACAAAACTTGAAATGTTTTGTTTTCCTAGGATTGTGTCTGTTTCCTGCAACTTACTATTTTCCCTTTGATTTTTGTGTCTATCTTTCCCATGAGGGGATTCCCTCTGGTGTTCAGGAATCCTTGGTCATTTGCTTATGGTTATGAGCAAACACTAAAAAGCAAACTGAAATCTCTGCGCATATAGGTGGGATTTGTTGACTGTTGAGCTTTGCTATAATGTGGTCTGTGGGGGCCATTTGTTGGGAAACCTCCACTGTGAAAATCTTTAACTCTTTCCTTTTGGGCTGTCTTAGAGATGTTTCTGGAAGAAATGTCTTTCAAATATCTATTTTACAGGCCTAGCTAAAGCATTCTGGAAACTGACTGGAGGGAGAAGGCTCAAGGCCACAACGTATTGCATATAAATATTCATTTTGTGCTTGCTTATAGTATGACCTCTGCTTCAACTCTCGTTGATATTCTCCATTCCAAAGACTCTCTGCAGAGATTAAATTTTCAGTGTTCCTGGGCTTGGAAGAGGCAAGTCATCCAGGTACTTGGAAGGGGAGAAGAGATCTGGTTGTCCGTTATTTTTAAAATAAATTATGTCATATTTATATAAAAGACAATATGCAAATATCACATACAAAAGCATACAAGTGATACATATGTAAATTATGACCCTCATTAATAAGGTGCACAGCAATTAAGAACTAGAACATTCTAAATATTTTTGCACCTACATCTGTGCTCTGTTTCTTTCCCATCTCCCAGCCTTCTTTATCGTCCTGACCCAGAGGTAATTACTATCATAAATTTTGTATTTGTCATTTCCTGCTTTTAAAAAATAGTTTAGGGGTGCCTGGGTGGCTCAGTCGGTTAAGAGTCTGACTCTTGATTTCAGCTCAGGTCATGACCTCAGGTTGTGGAATCAAGCCCCTCGTTGGGCTCCATGCTCAGTGTGGAGTCTGCTTGAGATTCTCTGTCTCCCTCTGTCTCTGCCCCTCCCCCTGCTTGCTCTCTCTCTCAAAATAAATAAAGTCTTAAAAAATAAAATAAAATAAAAAATAGCTTAATGTATATACCATATATGTATAAATCCATAAGCAATATATGGTTTGGTTTTGTCTGTTTTGAGCCTTATAAGAATGGTAGCATACTACATGTAGTTCTTCTATAATTTGCTTTTTTTTCATTCAAGATATGTTTCCTAGAATAACTGCTTCTAAGCAGACTTTAGGTCAGTCCTCCTGTTTGCAGTTCCAACTTCATCCCCACTTCCAGAATTGCCTAGTGCGGCCAATCCCTGAGCTTTTGGAGTTTCCTCAGTGTAAATTGCCTTACGTGTTGGATTTCTCTACTACCAGCTTAGGGTTTAACTTTTTCAAGGTTGCTAAATCACCACATTACTATTTTTAGGTGTTTTCCAGCTGCTAAAATGTTGCTTGTGCCTTTTGGTTTTGTTTTTCAAGGTTTACGCTTTAAAACCCCTTGCGGTTAAGATCAGTGAGGTTTGGGGAGGGAAGCGATGTGACCGTGTGTTTAATCTGTCATCATTATTTATGAGTCTTTACTTCCTCCCTTCAAATGGATTAAAATCACCCAGGATAGTCCAACTTTACCACATGTCAGTGGCACCCTCATTTTCAGAGCCCGCTCTATAGATAGATACATATGCATGCACATGTGCCTTTGCGAGAGCAGGATCACGTGTGTGTACAAGTGTGCAGATAGGTCTCCAATGCTCCTTTTTGCCGTGGGTTTCATGGCGACTTACTCAAGCGTACTGAATGGCTGTTGTCTGTCGTGCATTATAATAGGCACATCAGGATATAGCTAGTTATGGTTCCTTTCCTTAGAGAGTTTATACTATAGAGAAAAAAAATGTAAACCCATGAAATAGTACGACGTGATACATAATCACTTTGAAATTGCAAGGCATTGGGATTGGGTGGTGTAGGACTGAACAAGGGGAGAGAGATGGGGGTATACTAAGGGTGTGCTTTGGAGGAGACAAACGGAATGGAGGCCATTCCAGAAGGGGGGCCCTTGGTACACCCTCTCTTTGGCCTACGGAGTGCTAGCTCTGCTAGCATGCTACATCCTTGGATGTGCCAATATCTTCCCTCTTACAGGAGACAGGCTCATGCTGTTTCCTGCCTGGAATA